GATGGCAAGGATGCATACCAACATGGAGCAAGCAAAGAAATGGGATGGTGGTATCTATCCTAGGATAAAAATGATTTGGATGGGAACATGAAGAAGGCAGGAGAACTCATTCCTATGAGGTCTGATGAGTGGAATTTTCAAATCATGGGGCCTTTTGAACAGCACACTGTTGATGTTCTTGGAAGATCTTGTTCTTGTAGAAAGTGAGAATTGACTGAGCTCCCATGTAAGCATGCTATTTCTGCCATTTGGTGTAGAAAAGAAGAAACAAGGTGGTATGTTGATCATTTGTACACTGTTAAAACATATAGAAAGGCATATGAACTGCCAATATTAGGGATAAATGGTCCTGATTTGTGGCCTAATGTTGAGCTTCCCCCACCTATCCCTCCTGCAATTGTGAAGAGACCTGGAAGACCTAAGAAGGCAAGGATAAGAAATCCAACTGTGCCACCAAGTGCATTGCCTCATAATCCCCTGAGATTGAAAAAGCACCAGAGGAGTGTGACATGCAGAGTTTGTGGAGAACATGGCCACAATGCTAGAAAGCATAAGAAGGCTGACCAAAATGAAGAACAAGAGGAGACCCCAGTGAGTGAATCTCAGCCTCTTGACATGGCCACAATGCTACTGACAATGTTTTCTCAAGTCAGTCACTTGCACCAACACCTGCAAACAACAACAATGATGCTGAAGCTAGCAGAAATAGGGTAATTTACCATTTTTATCTTCTTTTTTAATTGTATATCATCCTCATTTACTATGTTTTTTACTCTGTGTTTTGATTTAAATTTGTTAAATTTATTTTGTCTATTTTTATAGTCTCAGGAAAAGACAAGAACAACAAGGAAGAGAAAGCAGTCAATTGGATGGAAATGGCAATGAGGATCAAGGACAGACTGTCAATGTGAGTTATTGTGTTATAGAAGTGAAAATTTTATTTCAGTTGGATTGGATTTTGAGTTCTTTGTGCAAAATAATTCCTTAATCACTTGTACAAATGCAGGTCACTCAATCTGAGGGAGTCACTTGTCCTGTTGTGGTGAAAGGAGGTGTGAATTACATAACAGTCTCCAACATCAGAGCTGCTTTGAGGCCAAGGAATGGGGCAACTCCTGGTAAGGACAATGCTGCAAACAAGTAACTCTGGATTTGTGTTGGCTTATTCTGAAATTATTTTGTTTGACTATTTAGATTTATTTTGTTTTAATTGTGTTGTGATGGGATAATGATATCTTTGATGATTCTGGCTTGACTGTGGACTTCTATTTATGATGATAGATTTTTTATGATGGATTGTGGTTTGAACAAGGCTGTGGAATGTGTTTTTGTGGTGATTGACTGTGGATTTCTATTTATAATAGATTGTCAAGATAATGTTGATTAAGTTCATTTTCTTTGATTGAGTTCAGACAGAGGATACATATGTTGGAAAATGAAAATGAAAATGCTGCTTTCATTGACTTGGAAAATGCTGATTACATAAGTTGCATTTGTTAATTGCTAATTTTTGCTACTTGTACATAGAACACAATTACTACAAGTAGAAAAAAGACTCCTACTTTTACAATGGAATTTTTCTTTTTATTTTTCAATGCAGCTAGTTGTTTTTCCAAACTCTTATTCTTGCTATTGGCTTTCCTCAAATCAGCTTCCAATTTTCCTTCTCTTACATGAAGTCATTGACCTCATCCTCAAGCTTGTTGATTTTTGAAAGCAGTCCGGGTATTATTTGTTTGGAACGAGCACACATTTCCGGATCCAACCACTTGTAAAATCCACAATATTCAATTGTCTGCAAGAGAGAATAATACAATCATAAATTTTTTTATGAATATGATAAAAAAGAAAAATCGAAAATAATACCCCGTATTTTGGACATGCCCAATATCTTCTTCCGGGATTGGTTTTTGTCCATGATGTCTTCAATGGGAGCTCTTCACCAAAAAGACACCAACATTTTTTGCCAGGAAAGTTATTATTC